AATTCCTTTTACAATAGCATCCAAAAAAATGAAGTATCTAGGAATCAATCTAACAAAAGAAACAAAAGATCTCTACACTGAAAACTACAGCACTCTGAAAAAAGAAATCGAAGAGGATATAAAAAAATGGAAAGATATCCCCTGCTCCTGGGTAGGAAGAATCAACATAGTGAAAATGGCCATACTACCGAAACTGCTATATACATTCAAAGCCTTTTTCTATAATACTTCATCTTGCCAACCTTGCTAGGAGAAGTGTCATTTCTGGCCTTGGAGGTATTCATAGTTTATGAAAGATAATAACATGAATTGAGTTTATAATTCAAGATTTTGTTTCCAGTCTTCAGGGAGCTTGACCAAAATCAGTTTTATAGTTATCCCAAGGATCAGTCAATATTCATCCTACTTTATAAATGATAGATATTACAGATTGTATTTGGCTTAACATTGCTGAATTTTAAAAGTTTGGATACTCTATAGTAATTGTTTAATCTGCTAACAAAGAATGAAAGTCATAATTAATTCATACCTATTAAATCCATCTTCTGTTGAACTTTTTTTTTTTTTTTTTTTGGTACTGGGGATTGAACTTGGGTCCTTGCACTTGCAAGGCAGGCCACTGTGAACTTTTATTTTTAAAAGTCTTACATATTTAAATTTTCCTTTAAATTATTCTATTTAAATTTAATTTAGAAGGCCTAAATTTTGCTTTATGCCACATCAATATCAATAACATCTGTAGCATAATAGTTTAGATATATAAAATACTGCCTGAGGACTAAATTTCAAATTCCTTCTGTGAAATAATGATACAGACACAGCAATCCTATGTTTCAAAAGCACTGCATTTATTTAACTTTAGTATGTAAAATCAAATTCACATATAAAGAAAAAATTTCAAAGCATAAAATATTTTTGCTATAATTAAATTATAATTTGGAAAAACCATTTTCTCTTGTTGATACATTTTCCTTAAACAAAAGACTTCATTAATACTTAGCACTAATAAGGACTTAATACAAAGCACATCAGTTACCAGAACAAGCATCGTCTTTTGGTAAGAAACACATTCTCTCTTACTTAATGGCAAATATACTTTAGAATTTTAGAGAATTACTGGCCAGAACAATTTACCAAAATCATACAGTTGTTGTGTCCTAGGGCTGGTCTGTAACATGGATGAGAAGTGCTAAGTTTTCACAAACTTTATTGTTAAACATTTAATTAATCAAATTTAATTAATTACTTTCAAAAGAGATAGGAACAATTTCAGCACCTGGATCTCAAGTAGCCACCATCTTTAGCTCAGAGTAAGATGTGCTGTTTACTGTAGAACTATCAGTAGTTGGGAGTATTACACACAAGTGCTGGCAGGCATTCCCACCCCAGTACAGTCTGGTTCTTGCAGGTCTGAAACATTTCTATAGCTTTGCACCTTCTGTTTCCCACCATGATTGAAAGTTTGTTTCATACCCCTAGGAAGGATGTAGGAGCTTACTGTATATAAAACATTTATATATTTCAGCTCTGGCTTTTATTTTGAGTTCCAAACTCCATAAATCCAGTGGTCCACTTGATACATCCACTTGAATGTCTAATAAGCACTGTACATGTAACAAGGCCAAAAGTGACTTTTTATTTCATTATCCATCCAAACTTGTTCTTCCTAGTAAGTAACTGGTATTATTGTCTTCTCAACTAGCCAAACAAACAAACAAACAAAAAAAAACAGAAGAGAACCTTGAATCTTCTCCTTCTTCAATCTTTCAGTCAAATCCATCACCAAGTCCTTTGGCTGCACCACCTGCCCACTTCCTCCATCTCCTTGGCCATGACCACAGTCAGGCCACAAGATCTCCTCCTGCGTACACTGACATAGCTTCTTGTCCTTCATGTAGCTACTTTTGCCCCCCTAATCCAAACCAATTCATTCTTCATATAAAACAACCAGACTATCACATCCATGCATAACACCCTCCAAAGTCTTTCTTTAACATGTCGAATAAAATCCTCAGGGCCCCCTGTCTTCCTCCCCTTCCCTCAGCATGCCTTTATTTCTGTGTGGACTTATCCCAAGACTGTCTCTCTACACCCTGGCCTTTTCCTTGCTGCGCTTTCTGCCTAGACAGCTCCTCCACAATCTTGTCACATGTCAGCCACATGTCACCTCCCTAGAGAGCCCTTTCTGACCACTTTATCTACAATGCCATCTGCCCTGTCACTTTCCATCACACTGCCTATAACTGAAACATCTTAATAGATAATGATCTTTGTTCAGTTACCCCCTTTCTTTACCTTGCAGGCTGTATTAATGTTTTGTTGTTTTGTTGTTGTTATTTTGGTAGCAGGGAACAAACTAAGGTCCCTGCGCTTGCAAGGCAGGCGGTGGAACCACTGAGCTAAATCCCTGGCCCTGAATTATTGTTAATATGAGATAATGTAGCTATTTTTAACACTTTATAATATTATTTAAATAGATATTTATTTATAAAGACTTCCAAAGCTTTGCTGAAATGTAACTTGCACAGAGAGACCTTTCTCTGCCACCTTTGTCACCATTTCAGCACTTACACATGTCCAGTGGTGATTTCCTGCCATATTTTTGTTCTTCTCAGCATTAATCACTAACAAACATATATAGTACCTATTTGTCTTATGAACTGTCTTCCCTTTTATAACGGAAACACCATAAAGGCAGAAGCTTTTTAATTAGATTTTGTTGATGGCCGTATTTTCAATGCTTAGAACAGAGTCTGACATAGAGAGGCCTCACGCTAAATGTTTTTTCAGTAAGTAATTAAAAAAAAATGTTTTCCACTAGAATATAAGATCTACAAGGATAGACACCTCTAGTTTGTTCATTATATTATAAATGTTTTTCAATTTTCTGATGAGGCTTGACTTCCTAGAGAACCTCTCAGGATAGCAACTGTCCTGCTCAGGCTAGCCATCTGAGAGACAGAGCAGGCAAGCTTTCAATATGCAAACTAAGCAACCCAGAGCTTGACCACCTCTGTCTGAACACAAGAGCCAATATTCCTCGCCATATTCATCATAAGGCCACAGCCATAACAACTAGAAACTACAACTCTATTTCCTAGGCTGCCTAAGTTATTTAATATAGCCAATCCTTAACTGTTCACCCAGCCTCACCTTGCAATTCTCATGGAAGGCAGTAGCCTAAGCCTTCCTGTCATTCTTGCCCATGATCACCATGGCCTATTTCCCACTGTGGCCCTGCATGATGTATGCACTGGGCCTTCTGTCTATGGGGAAAAAGTACAATAACCGTTTTATTCCTGAGCCTTTCCTGTGTCTTTTTTTGCAACCACATCTGATGGTACTTCTCACAAAAGAGTACAACACAGAAATCCCCAAGACCTAAAATAGCACACAGCACCAACAGGTTCATACAGTCGCAGTCAGTGTGTCCACACTTCAAGAAAGGGGTTGGAGTATCAAGAAATCCAAGATGAGATGGTGGAAGTGGGAAATGGAGAGGAGGTGGCTGGTAAGAAATGAGCCAGTTGAGAGAAACAATGGAGAAAACAAAGTGCCTTCCACTTTATATTTTTAAAAAGTCTCTCTTAAGCATAAGTGCAACCTCTAGTTATACAACAGAGAATCTTATAGCACAGAGGAGCCAGAAGTGAAAACTGCACTGTAGGGCTAAGTGGAATGGGACATATAGGTGACAGGAAACCAATGAAAGTGTTACTCTTTTGTTTTCTTTTCAAAACTAGAAAGAAGTCACAAAGATATTACTAGAGTCAGCCGTTCACAATATTGCAAATAAACTGTCTTATCGAAAGTGGTATTTTTTTGTTTGGTTTTATGCACGTATATGAGAAATTCTATATGGAAACTAGAAGGAGCATAGAGAAAATGCATGTTATGGGAAGTGAGAAATCCAATCACAGAGAACACATGAAGAACACAGAAAAGTTTTTGAAATAGAAGGGTTTAGGATACCTGTGCTTTCCCATATCTTGCTCGTGGACTCTGAGGGTATTTGCGCACCAGTTCTTCAAATGCATTCACTGATTCCTCAATTTTCCCCTATTAAATACAATCACATAAATAAGTTTGAGTGATAGCATGTTATTCAATTTGGTTATTTAATAGTCACCAAATGCTTCTACCAGAATTTTTCACATTTTTCTGAACTTAAGGTCTCTTACCTAAGATTTAAAAAAAAACTTGGGGAACAAACATAAACTCTAAATGAATATAATATACTTAATTTTTATAAAGGAGGATAACTGACAAAATTGTAATATGAATTTGTGTTAAAGAAATTATGTTTTCTTTCAGTACATACTTTGTACTCTCCCCTCACAATATTAATTTAAAAAATGATTTTTTTCTATAAATGAACCTAAAGCATGGTAAAATAAAATAAAATAAATGTGTTTTGCCTCTGATGTTTTTTCTTTTCTTTTTCTTTATTGGTATCGAGGATCAAACTTAGGACCTCGCACTTGTCAATCAGACTGTGCCACTGAGCTACATCCCTGGCCTTGCCTGTGACTTTTAAACAATTACCCTTTATTAGTTTCTTGTGACTCTGTAAGAAATTATCACAGATTTGGTAGCCTAAAGCAACATAAATTGATTCACAATTTCTGAAATCAGAAATCTCACATCTATTGCACTGGACTGGAATCAAGAGGCTGGCAAGGCTGCATGTCCTCTGGAGACTAGAGGGAAGGATCTTTTGCTAGTCTTCTCTAGCTCCTACTGAATACTGGTATTTTCTGGCCTGTCCTACCTGATATCTACCTCCCAGCCTCCATTTTTCCATCACTTCTCTCCTATGCTTGTCTTCACCTTTTTTTTTTTTTTGAGACAAGGTTTCATTATGTAGTGCAGGCTGGCCTTAAACTATGTAACCCAGGCTGGCCTCAAAATTGCAGCAATCCTCCCATCTCAGCCTCTTCAGTGCTGGGATGATAGGAATGCGTCTCCACACATGGCTTGTCTTCACTTTTGTGTTAAATCTCAATGTGCCTCTTTCATATAAGGATGCATTTAGGGTCCTCTCGGATAAACCACAAAAATGTCTCTGCTGCAAGATCTTTAATTTAATCGGATCTAGAAAGGTCCTCTTTCCAATAAGATTAACACTTAGCGGCCCCAGATACTAGTGCATCGATATCTTTCGGGAAGTCCACTTGCAGCTTATCAGAGTGTGCCTTCTGTCCCCTGAAGAGTTATGGCTGTCCTACATGCAAACTATATCCACCTCATTCCAACATATACAAAAATCTCAAACCACAGTACCCACTCAAATCTAAAATCTTATCTAAGTCTTATCAACTCCAAGTTCCAGATAGCATCATCTAAGTCACATATGGTTATAATACACTCTGGTTATGTTTGTAATCCACTGTGTGGCAAGTGTCCTTTTCATTTATGGACTTATGAAACTAGAAAACAAGATACCTAATTCTAAAATACAACAGTGGGATTAGGACAGGACAGCATTTGTCGGTATTCTTATTCTAAAAGTAAGAAGAAAGGAATTACTTATTTCAAGCAATTTCAAAATTTGGCCACAGGCAGATTCCATTAAGGGTCAAGATCTGGGAATAATTCTCGGTAGCTTGAGGCTCTACCCCTGCGTCCTTGGCTCTATCTATTGGGCTCTTTTTCCTGGGGCTTTGGGTTCAAGGATCTGACCTTGGAGAGGTCCTTCCGCTTTACAGAAGATAGCACAAGTTAGTAGCTGCTTTGTTTTATCAGCCTGTTTTGAGTGTGTGTCAGCTTTCTTTCATTTTTGTCTATCTTTTTAGTCCAGGCTGGCAGTACTTCTGCTTTTATAATACTCTAAAGACCCATGGGTGTCTTATGTATGTTACAGAATGCACACCATTAGATAAGAGGCTACTCCACATATCCATCCTGTGTGATCTCATCTTTATTCCTAACTGCCACTGAGATGACAGAATGGATCCAAGAATCACAGACTCACTCTCTTCAGAAACAGGTGTGCAGCCTTACTCCTGGACTTCACTCCACAGCATGATTTTCTAATAGCGAATTTTCTACTTTTAGCATATTCTGTATCTTATAGGCTGAGAAATTCCCAAACAGTATGATGTGGTTCTTTTTTCCTCAGTTTATATTTTCGCTCTCATATTTTACCACAGACAGCAAAATGGGGCAAGGCTGCACCTTCAACACTTTCCTTGGAAATATCCTCCTATAAATATACAGATTTATTGACTGTAGGTTCTGTTTTCCACATAACTTTAAGACATAATTCAGATAAGCTTTCTTCCACTATCTAACAAGGGACACTTTTCCTGTAGTTTTCAATAATATATTCATTTCTTTCCAGGCACTTTCCAGAAGGAGCTTCCTCCTCACTCCCTCCAGAGCCCTCACTAAAAGCATCTTTAACACACACGTTACCAACAACATTTTAAGGCAATTTAGAATTTTTCTACCATGCCTTTCGACATTCTTCCAACCTCTACCTTTTTCCATTATTCCAATGCCACTTCTATATTTTTGCTCTACTCCACTGTCCAAAAATCTGCATTAGTTTCCTATGGATGCTATACCAGATTGTCACATATTTGATAGGCTTAAAGCAAGAGAATAACCTACTGTTATTCGTAAAGGCCTTCGTGCTCACTGGTTCCTTTCCAATAACATGTGGGAAGCCCTTTTTTGTCACACTTTAGTTTCTAACATATGTGCTTTTATTATTGTTGGTTATTGTTTTGGTTACTTTCTTTGTCACTAAGATCAATACCCAACACCCACGACTTAAAGGAGAGGTTTATTTGGGCTCACAGTTACAGTCCATGGTTGGCTGGCTCCACAGCAGAAATGGCATGCCAGAGGAGCACAGTGAAGGGAAACTATTCACATAATAGCAGCCAGGAAGCAAAGAGAGAAGTGAGGGGCCAGGGATGGAGGTGTGCTCTTCTAGGTCATGTCCCCAGGGACCCACTCTTCCAACCAGGCCACACCTCCCAACGGCACACTCAGCTGCTGAACTCGCCAGGGATGAACCTAGCAATGGGTATAGTGCCCCATCCAATCTCCTTCCAACACTTCTGAACATATGAGGCTTTGGGAGGACATTCCAAAGCTAAACCATAACAATTATATACTTAGATACCTTTCTCTCTTCTCTTCCTTTGCAGTTAATGTCTACTTGATAAAATGCATTTTATGGAAAAACTAATGAGTGTTACAGAATCTAAATTTAAGTCCAAAGTAAAGAAAAAGAAAATTTTTATGAAAATCAAGCAGATGATTAATTAAAAATCTTTACTACATGATAGTATTTTGGAGTCTGATAATTACATGAATATGAACAAATTATGCAAACAAATAATATCAATTTAGTGCCAAATTATTAAGAAAAACTAATATTCCTAAAGGAATGCAATTGTTTCAAGTCAGCTGATGGTAAAACAAATATACAATAGTCACATGGAAAATTAGGGTTACATGAAATTAACCTTAAGTAAGAAGAATGTTAAATTTGGCATCATTTCACCTAATAATAACTATTCCAAGAATGCAGAACTAATCTATTTTCTTTTACTTTATTTCACTTTTTACACTGAGATGCCATAATTAAAAACTTCTACTAATATACTACTTGACAGTGTTGATACTTTTTGTTCTTTTAATCTCATTGGATTTTTATTAAAAAGCAGGAAAAGAAAGGAGGGCAGGGGAATGGGGAAAAAAATAAGAACCAAGATACATCATGTAAAGGTACAAGTTCCCAATGATGAATGTAAATGTATTACATACCTAAAATGTACCAATAAAAGAATTTAAGAGAAAAATAAATAAAAAATAAAAAGCATGCTGTCTGCCTTGCAAGCACAGGGACCCAAGTTTGATCCCCGGTTCCAAAAAAATAAATAAATAAATAAATAAAAAGCAGGAAGAAACTAGCAAGAGTATTTATCATTCTCATTGTTTTTAAATAAGCAAGCTGAGGATCAGAATGGTCAAGTGATTTCCTCAAATCCACACAACTGTAACTGACCAAGGCAGGTAACACCCAAGTCAGCTATCTTGAAGGTAAATTAGCCATTGGCTATGATTTTCATCACTTTGATTCACTTCATATGGAAATACAATGATGTGCTTGGGGGAAAATCCACTCTATTCAAAGGTTGTTTCTTTTACTACTACTACTACTACTACTACTACTACTACTATTATTATTATTATTCAGTGTAATGCTTGAGTTTACTTACCGATGAAAACATTGTACATTTCTGTGCAAAATAAAATTATCAACTTACCCTTTTACGGAGTCTTTCTGCAGCATCAAGTTCAGCTTTAATAGTTTTATCAAATTTATTTAAAAGTTTAGGTTTCTTTTTCTTAGCTGAAAGAAAAGAGATTTTTATTTTGAATTTTTTATCTAGAAATAGTTGCTTAGAATAGTAATTTACAAGTAGTCCAAAGCCTAATATTAGTCTCAAATACATAACTGCAGGAACCAGCACATTCCAGCTCACCTTCTCTTTTTTGCCCCAGACCGTAGGAAGGCACCACAAATCAGCAGCTATCAACGAAGATGACACAGATCTTCCTTACATAAGCACATCTTGTGCCTGATTTCGCTGCCCTTTGTAGATGCCACACTTTTTACAAATTGAAGATTCATGGCCATCCTATTTCAAGCAAATCTTTGGGTACCAAGTTTCCAACAGCATGTGCTCACTTCCCGTCTCTGTGTCACATTTTGCTAATTCTCCTAATATTTCAAAGTTTCTTCTAATTATTAGAGTTGCAGTAGTGATCCGTAATCAGTAGACCTTTGATGTCTGGGGTACCATAAACTGACCCATACAAGATAACAAAAGTAATGGGTAAATGTCATGTGTGTCCTGACTGCTCCTCCACTGGCTGTTCCCCTCTCTCCCTCTGCTTGTAGCCCCTTAATCCCTGAGAAGTGCTCTCAGCAACCTTCCATACTTCTGGCCACCTGGATTGCCCCATGTTTCCCCTTTTTATGCTTTGTGTCATTTCTTACGTTATTTTCTCTAAATAAAATGGTCTGTTCTCTGTTTGTCAGTTAAAATATGCCTATTCTTTAATTTAAAATATCACTTATACAGTCTCAATTTATTTGTTTTCTTTCTTGCCTGCTCTTTCTGTTTCTCTCTTTCTCCACCTGTTTACCCTACATATCTGTGACGGTCTTCCTCATAAGGCTTTCACTATACTCATTTGTGCACTCAGTCCTTTTCCAAACCATAAACTTCTGCTGGGTGGTAGCATGTTTTAAATACAAACTTAACAAACAACTTTTTGGCTCTGCATGTGATCCTAGCACCCAGTGGATGGGAGCCCTCTTCCCAGAAGGAAGTCACACTGCAGGTAGGAGGGCGGGTCCTGATGGTACACACACCTGGCAGTGCCTGTGGAGTGGACAGGTCTACAGTGCCCCAGAGCAGGAGGGATACACAGAATGTTCTAGACAGTGCACTAGTGGCAGGGAATGGGGTTGAGGAGCGATAGAGACATTACCACAATTCAGGGAGAACTTCCTCCATTTTCTGACATTAAAAGCTACAAATTTATTATCTTCTACCCTATCCTATCACAAAAAGGAAGAGGAGCTCTGTTTCCTAAAGACGCCCCCTCCCAACACACACACCTGCACACTGCCTTATGAATATGTCTTCCAAAAGTCTCCTTACTCTAGCTTCCTATGAGCCCCCACAGCATTTGGTTAAAGTCGCTCCCATCTGGGTTTCTTCTTTCCTTTCTATTTATTTATTATTTACTTATTTTTGTAGTACTAAGGATTGAACCCAGGGCTTTTGCAATGAGCTACACTCGCCCCTTTTTAATTTTCTGAGATAGGTCTCACTAGATTGCTAAATTGCCCGGGCTGGGTTCAAATTTCTGATCCACCTGTCTCAGCCTCCCAGTGTGCTCAAATGACAGATATGCAACACCTGGGTCATTACTTTTTTTGAGGCGCTCACTCCATCAGTCACCATGTTGGGAGCTTTATACACCTCTCCTTTCATTCTGTCAACCTCCAGAATATGGAGAATTTAATTTCATCGCTGACACCACTGAGATTCACCCTCAAGAACTTCTTTCTGGCCAAGAAAAAAGTTTCCTAACAGTCTCCTGCTTCTCTCTAAGAGAGGTGTTACACTTTACCCAACCCACGAGTATTCCTATTGCTGGGTGGCCGCAAAAGAGAGCATGTGCACTGGGACCAGTTGGCTCAGGCTCAGAAGAGCTCATCTGCACTGCGTCCCGCCCAGGATAATTAGGGTTGTCGTTCTGCTACCTAGAACTGGTGGGTGTGTTCAATTCTGAGATTTAGCATTAAGAAACCCGTTACTTATTATCCAAGATCTACCCTTCAGTCAGCTGTCATAGTAATAAAGTGGACACTTTGCTGACTATTTATTTCTTAGGCATTTTCTATGACTCTGTGATCTTCTGTTTTGTTAATGCTACCTTACTCTTCTCTCCTGGAACCTCCAGTCCCTCAATGGTTGACTGCTAAATGTCTGAAGCAGAGACTGAAAAAACAATGACTAAAGGGCTTTTCAACCATACGTCATTGTGTGGTAGCTTATATGCTGATGTAGAAAGTGAATCTAACTTGACAGAGAAGTAGATTTATAGCAGTGGAGCTCCTGTCTCGTCCCTGCACTAACTCATGTCTCCCAGTCACTCTCTTTGTTTCTGCAGAACTATCAGGTGAATGACAGTAGACCTCCCCCAAAGCCTGGCATACACCTGAGATTACTGGGCATCCTAGCACCCAGCCCGTCTTCTGTGTTATCAAGTTCAAGTTAACATGAGATTCATTTAAAAGGAAAAAAAAAAACCTAAAAACTGGCAGTTTAGGACCTCCAAGACAGACAACAGCAAAATAAAATCCTTGTTAAGGAGCCACACTGTACCTTATTGTCACAATATTCCATAACAGCACAAAAATAGACAAATATTAAAATTTCCTAGCACCTGTTACCAAGAAATTGTCTCATTTTTCACCTATATTCTTAGTAGTTTCTGAATATTGGTCCTCTCTTTGAAATTCAAGTTTGATATTATTATGACTTTTTATTTTTAAGTGTATAAACAGTCTGAGTCAGCTTTCCCAACTGCTGAAAACAAGCATCCCCGCCCCAGGCACACTGCTTCCTTCTTTTCCCAGGAAAGCACACAGTCAAGCTGCAGAAACAACGTTGAGTTCTACAGCTACGATACAACCCTGGTGAATTCTCTTAAGCTGACTGGTTTCAGTTTTCTCATCTACAAGTGATGAGCCTTGGGCTGGATCTCTTAAGATGTTCCACCCCTGTGCTTCTAATTTTCAGTTGATTTAAGTAATGTATATAGCTTTTTAAGGAATCTGTCATAACAAGAAGTTATATAAAAAATAAAAAAACGCATGGCTAACCAGCTAAGTGAAATGTTTCCTAAAAAGAGAAGCCATGTGAAGAATATGAGAGCCAAGATGATTCCTGAATTCACAGCTCAGGCTAATGGCTCCTTAGCACTGTTCATGGGACCAATCAGAAAGCACTATTCCTAATCCTTCCTTCGACTCTTTTTTAAAACTGAATTTTGTTGGTACATTTTTAGGTATACAATACCTAAAATGACATTCATCACTGGAAGTTTGTACCTTTACATAATTTATCTTGGTTCTTATTTTTTTCCCCATTCCCCTGCCCTCCCTTCAACCTCTCTACCCCCCCCACTTACAAAACCCTTTGAATCTTTTTCTGTTCACAGGACTAATCAAAAGGTGTCATTCTTCATCCTTTAGTTATAAATGGGCGTGACCAATCAAAGGAACTATTCCTGATACTTCATTTACATCTGGTAAGAGGCCAAGCGAGTTTTTTGGGGGAGTGGTACTGGAGATTGCACTCAGAACCTTGCACTTGCAAGGCAGGTGTGCTGTCAGTGAGCTAAATCCCCAGCACCCAAGCAAGATTTTTAATGAGACTATTTATTTAAAGTCAAATGAGTTTTTGATGGGACAATTGTCCCAGTGCCATATTTACACGAGGTGGGGTTGATCCAGGTATCCTGAATACTAACGGCACTTTTCCCTTAATCCTGAGGGTTCACTGTGAGCCTTCTTCACTGGCCCACTCACAACCTGTACAGAGTCCTTTCTCTGTGCCTTCAATAGATCCACACCACCACTGCCATTCCTGTGTGTCTTGTCCAGTTCTTAGTTCAAGACACCAAGGACCTGGAAAGAAGCTCTTAGAATCCCTACCTGGCAACATCACTACAAGTGTTTTACCTTTTCCCAAAAGCAGAGAGAGAAAGAAAAGGGACAGGCTGCATTTCAAATCTTTACTTCCTTCACCATGTTATACTTGAAATGGTTGAGCAGGAAAATTAAAAAAAAACAAAAAACAATAGTGGCATGACAAAAAGTGGCGTGACAAAAGTACTGATGCATACTTAGATAAAAATTAATGTTGACTATTTCTACTACCATTGAGCCCACAGACAAAGGTATTTTCACACTATGGTGCCTGGGAGAAAATGAGCACCAAGGAAAGACACAGAATCGTCACGCTACTCTAGATCTTTTATTCCACAGAAGATAGTTTAAACAAAAAAAAATTCTGAAACAACACAGACTGAAAAACCAACAATTTCCTAACCACTCTCTCTACCTCCTGCTCCATATTGTTCCAAGGATCTTTCTGAAACATCATCTGTCACTGTCACTGCAGCTGCTTAAAATACACTCATAGACGCCCCCCCAACACATAAAACAAAAACTAAGCAGTCCTGCCAGGGATTTAGCTGAGTGGTTCTGCTGCCTGCCTTATAAATGCAAGGTCCCAAATTAAATCCCTGGTACCAAACTCCCCCCAAAAAACCCAAATAACCAACCAAACAAATAAAAAAACACACCCCCAAACAAACAAACAAAAAAAACCAGAAAACTAAGCAGTCCTGATCCTATTTACCTACCCAACAGAATTTGTAATATATGTCATGAAAATATAAGCAAATACTTGTGTACCATTGTTCAGTATTTCACTCTTTTAACAGCCAAGAAGAGAAAACTCAAAGTCCATCAATTGGTGAATGAAAAAATAATCTTCAGTTCATCTACACAATGGAATAATATTCAGCAACGATACTAATACATGCAACCAACCACACAGGAGGATTTCTAATGCATAATACTAAGAGAAGGAAACCTAATTCAAAAGAATGGTGACTAATTGATTCCATTTGTATTCTATTCTGGAAAAGGAAAAAACAATAGGAATAGAAATTAGGTAAGTGACTCCAGAGCCTGGGGTAGAGACAGTTTGACCACGAAGAGCATAAGATTTTTAAGGATTATAAAGTTCTATGTTAATT